ATTGCAGATCAATCTCACTATCACAGTTGGAGGTGGAAGAGAAAATATTAGAAGACTGAAAAACTAAATGGAGACAAATGAATCTAATGTCATTAGACATTTGCTATTAACTTTGTTTTCTTGTGATTTGGGGTTCCCCCCCAAGGGCTACTGCCATTGCTGTCCAGTCAGCTCCAAGTGATAGAGACCCCATGTGCGCCAGCATGAAACCCTGTTTGATACTGTGCTATCCTCATAAACTCTGCCATACTTAATAAGTTCATTGTTGCAGCAGCTGTGCCAATCTATCTCCTTAAGGGTCTCTTCTTTGCTGACTGTCCACAGGCATGATGTCTTTTTCTGGAAACTAGCCTCTCCTGATAGCATACCCAAAATAGGTAAGATGGAAGTGTCACCATCCTTGCCTTAAAAAGGGCCAGCCTGTCTGAACTTCCTCCAAGACAAATGTGTTTGTTCTTTTGGCATCATCACTCCTCAACACCATAATTCAAAATAGGAAACAAATCTTATTCTAGTTATCAGACTTTTATGGGGTTACTTACTTACCCTCCTCAGTGGCATCCAGAGCCTCAGAAACTTCACTAAGTGATTCCGCCATAGTAGAATCACTAAAATAAAATACAGAGTAAAAAGAACAAAATATTCATTATTTGATGCACAGTGTATAACACAATCATTTCACCTCATTTCTTATGTCCCAGTTAGGTTCTTAAACTATTCAAGAAAAGAGATTAAAGAAAATTGCCATTAGAAAGAATTTCTCCTCCTAGAACTTCTCCTCCAAGGTTAAAAAAAAAGAATTTATTCTTTTTTTTTATTTTTTGCTTTAAAATAAGACAATGTTTCTATGTGTATGAAATGTCCAAAGTAGCCAAATACATGGGTACAGAAAATAGATTTATGGTTGTTCAGTGTATAGGAGGCAAAGAAAATTTAATGTACCATGATCTGTCAAAAGAATAAGCCAATCTGTCTTGGAAGATATACAGTCAGAATGCTCCTTAGAATCAAGGATGGTGAAACTTCATGTAACATACTTTGGGCATGTTAACAGTAGAGGCTAGGCCCTGGAGAAAGACATTAAGCATGGAAAGGTAAAGGCTACTGAAAAGAAGATCTTCAACATGATGAATTGACACAGTGTCTCCAATGGGCTTAAGCACAACAGAGATTATGAGGATGATTCAAGACTGAGCAAGGATGCATTCTATTGCACATGGGGTCATTGTGAATCAGAGCCCATGAGATGGCACCTGATCACAACAACAAAGCATGGCTTGGGAAGAAGGGGAAGTTAAGGGTTATGGCTAAAGGTATATTTTCTTTTCAGGTGATAAATACATTCTAAAATTGACTGTGGTGATGATTATACAACTCTGTGTCCAAACTATCCACTCATGATGCTAACCTAGACAGCACATAGTTTGCATAAAATGAGATATGAATAGCTAACACACAGACCCTCCACTCCACATTTTCATTTATCAAATTTTCAGAAAAGTCTTAATTTGCTGATATACCTTTGCTGGTGAGAATGGGAGAGGAGAGAATAGTCAAGCACTCCCATCGACTCAATATCTTCTCATACACTGAGTAAAATGCTCTATCTCTTTGAACGGAAATTGGAAAAATACACAGCAAAATGTATAATGCTCATATCTTTTGTTCAAGTAGGACCACTGCTAGAAATTTACCTTGTAGATAGACTCACACTTGGTTGCAAAAATATTTTTTTAAAAAAGAAATTGAATGCAAGAATGTTTATCACATAAATCTCTGAAACTATTGCCCTGAGATAATATTTTTTTAAAAAAATCCCCTGAAATCTTCTTTAAACCAAACAACAGATTAGTTTAATTCGTTTTTTGGTGGGGTGTTTTTTAAAGTCTGCTTGAAACATTGTAATCTTTTAAATAACTATCTATGTGTGACCAAATTGCCAACTGCACCATCAAGGTTAGATAGGAAACTTAGGAGGCAAAGAATTTATATTATGGGAGAAGGAACAATTCAGAAAAGGAAGATGAGAGGTGTTGTGTAGTTTGCAGAATATAATAAATGTCACTGAATTGGATGTGCAGAGATTGTTGAATTAGTATATGTTTTGCTGGCTATATTTTAAACAAAAATATTTAAAAGAGAGAGAAATGGAGCAGTCATATCTTTTTAAATTTTATCTCATTCATTTTAATGAACATTTACAGAGATTTTGGATTTCCATTTATTCGTTGTTGCAGAAGCAGTCATACCTTATGGAGATCGTCTCAATGATGACAAATTGCCTTGTCATTAATATCCTCAAAACAGTAATGTGTACAATCACAATAAAATTGGTCATTTCTTGGGATTTCATTATGATTCTACATAAATGGTTAATATTTAAAGACAAAACAGAATGTTTATCATGGCATTGTTTTAAATAGTCAAAAATAGGAAACAATCAAAGTGACTATCAATATCAAACTCACATAAGTCTACATCATGGGAGAATTACCTGTTTCTGTGGCCTCTTCTATAATCATCTGAGATAATAAGTTGAGTCAACTGTACATTTCCCCCCATTCAATCCAGTCTTCTAGAAAAGCTAGAAAGTATGCCAATGAATATAGACATTCTTGATGGGAGTTTGGGATAGGGGAAAGGGAGACCTAATAAACACCATTACTCAGAGAGAGGAAGCATACTATATGCAATAGCTTTGTAGGGCCTATATTGAAGAATGATTAGAGAGGCAAGCAGGCACTTTGACCCCTGTGACAGCCACCCCAACCTTTGTGCCTTGATGTGATTGACTCGTGTATCATCAAGTGGGGTCAAGTAGGTTCTAGAATTCTTCCATATCTGCTCCCACACGGATTACACCAGGTTTCGTCTCTTCCCAGACCTAGTCAAGCTTCAACTGCCATTTCACAGAGGAGCTTAATAGTCACAAGCTCCTGATAACACCTCTAGAAGTAGAAAGGGGGCAACAATAGGCTCTGAGGCAAAGGAGAACCTAAGAGTACACACAAAATACATGTTCCAAATAATAATGAGAGGGGTGATAGGGCCCTAACATCAAGATGGTTTAATCTTTTTGACCTAAGATGCCCCTTATATTCTCTTTGTGTGCATTTTCTGTTGCTGCAATCAGTAATAAACCCAACGTGTTCAATCATTGAAGTGCGCTGATGGCCTTTTGCTGGAGATAAAAGTCACACAACCTCTATGAGTTAACACAATTATGACCGAAATATCATGACTTGGTCTCAAGCCCACCTAAAAACCAAAGCCCACTGTCATCTACTCTATCCCAACTCATAACAACCCTGTAGGAGAGGAAAACTCTCCTTTCCGTTTCCAAGGCTATATATGTTTACAGAAGTAGGCTGCCTTGTCTTCTCTAGCAGAGCAGCTGATGGGTTTGATTTGCCAACTTTGGGCTAACAGCCAAACCCTTCAGCTCCTACCCCACCAGAATTCCTCTAGATCCCTAATTCTCCACTAAGTCTGCACATAAACACTCCTCACTCCACATAAAGCACACCCCCTCTCTTATCAAACATATACTACCAGAAGACCCAATACATATACACCATACACTATCCTAGAAGAAGATGGATTTCCCCAGAATGTTTGCCTCTATTATTAGAGAAAAGAATTTAGAGAGAGGGAAAGAAAGAAGCTGGTCCCAAGTAACAAAGAGACCTTTACTAGCAGACCTATGAGGAACACCAAGTGACTGTGTGAAGAGAAGGTCGGAATAGTGTGCAGGCCAAGACAATTTCCTTTTATAGGGACTGTTAAGGAGATTTAGAGAGGATGATAGTTTGCTCAGGAATTTGGGGCCAAGGGTCCTGTCAACGTGTGATCAGGCTCAGGGCATTACCAGGATCTGGTCATCTAGTCGCTTTATCAGGAATTGGACATTATCAGGTTTCCTCAAGGAATGATCAGGCCTTGGGATTGGGCCTGCAACATTCTTCCTCCACCTACTATTTTAAAAAACCCCATCTGGTGATCTGAAAGGAACAAAGGGATGAGAAAACTCAGAAGTCCCTCATAACTTCAGAGGGAGAGCAAGAGAATTCCTTAGGCTAGGAGGAATGCATGTCACTTGTGAGCTCCTGAAGCATTTTAACAAGCTTTAAGCTTTAGGGAATCTCATGAAAGAGAGTCCTATTATCTAAAATGGAGGAGCCTATTATACAAAATGGCAGGCCTTAGTAGGCCTACCACTGACAGGAGTGGATAAAGAAAGAAAATAACAACAACAACAACAAAATATTTTTAAAAAAATAGAGACAATAACAACCAAAGACAAAAGGTAAAGCAAAGAAAGAGGAATCTTGGTGGTCTCGAAACTCCTAGAACATTAATACAAAACAATTCAAACCCACTGCCATCAATTTTATTTCAACTCAGGGCATCCATGAGTTTCTTAGACTGTAAATCTTAACGCAAGCAGGCCGCCTCATTTTTCTCCCCCAGAGAGGCTAATTGAAAAATCGTGGACCTTTCAGCAGCCCACCTTAGTCTGCTATATCACCAGGGGTCCTTGAAATAACAATAGAATCACTGAAATGTACTAATCAAGCTTAGACAGTCTCGAGTTTGTGTCTAGCACACTTGTTTTATTTCTCCAATTGAATCCTAAGGATCCAGACCACCAAACCCTCTATCCCTATCTCCAAACTCCTTCAAAAGAACCTATGGCTGTGACTGACTCATAACAACCCTACAGGACAGAGCAGAACTACCTGTTGGGCTTCCAGGGCTGCTAAGCTTTAAAGGTAGACGGACTCATCTTTCTCCCAAGTTGTGGCTGGTGGGTTTGACTGGCTTTTGGACTAGAAACTAAATACTTCACCCACTCTGACCACCATCCCTGACTGTCATCAACCAATCAATCAGAACATGCTCAACTATCTCTTTTTCTAAAGCAATAAATCAATGGTAGTAGCCAAACAAAAACCTCTTCTTCCTCCTTTCAAACACTCTTTTTGTTAGCACCCAAACATACAAACATACAAACCTCTCCTTCCTTCTTTCAAACACTTTTTTAGCACCCCATTTCTCTCCTCTTCTTTAAAACAAAACTTTAAAATAATTAATTGTACTCACCACGTAGCATTCACCACGTAGCCTTGTGTGTCTTACTCTGGAACATTCTCCAGACTTTCACATCACTCCACTAAAACAGCTTTTATGAAGCCCTCAACAATTGAGATCTTGACCTCATAGCAGCCCAGGGCACAGCTGATTAATTTGTTCTTTTTTAATAATTGTATCACTTGCCTGTTGAAATACCATACTCCCTCCAACTTTCTTATTGGCTGTTTCTTCTCAATCTTTTTTGTTATATCTATCATCCCTTTCAGATTTTGAAAAGTAGTAGCATCCTTGTGCCTTGTCCTTGGACCCCTTCTTTATCTCAATAATTTGTTAAACTAACTCCATTAGCTAGAAACACTGATGTAAGCCAAAAATACAAGTCACATATGTGGCTTTAAATGTTCCCAGAGCCAGACTAAGGAGGGGAGAAATAAAATAAAATTATAAAAACAGGTGAAATTACATCTAATTGTGTATTTTTTTTAAAAAAATTATTGATACAGT